TTTAAAACATCCACGCCTCTTATTGTCCTTGAAATTTTTTTCTTTAAAACATCCAGGCCTATGATAGTCCTGGAAAAAATATTCTTCAAAAAATCTACGCGTGTGATAATCCTCGGAAAAATAATTCTTAAAAAATCTTCGACTCTAATTGTCCTTGAAAACATATTCCTTACAAAATCCACGACTCTGATTTGTCATTGAAAAAAATATTTTTCACAAATCCATGACTCCCATCGTCCTCGAAAATATATTCTTAAAAACCAAGAGTTCTGATAGTCCCTGAAAAGCTATTCCTCTGATAGCCTTTGAAAAATATTCTTCAAAACATCTATGCCTTTGAGACTCTTTGAAAATTATTATTTAAAAAAATCACTCCTCTGATAGTTCTCAAAAATATATTTTTCAAAAAAATCCACACCTCTGAAAGTCCTTGAAAAAATATTCCTGAAGAAATATAAGGCACTGATAGTCTTTGAAAAAATATTCAAAACATCCCAACGCGATATTTCAAGTGAATATCGTGTCGTTCTGTTCAAATATGACAATTTTTTAACATTTAGTTGACATGAAAAAATTGTATAAACCGAAACATCGCCAATCAAACGGTCAATGTAGATAATTACCAAATTACCGTTTTAGCAACAACTTGTAATTGGTGTCCCTTGATTATATAAAAACAATTGTTAACCCAGAATTTATTATAAAATAAACCTCACGAATATAACTCTTTTCAAATATTGGAGCCTTTAAAATGGAAGTCTATTACGTGGTAGCGGCAATTATAGTTCTATTGAGTTCATCAACTTTAAGGAGCGTGGAGGCAGGATTAATTCACGTAAGGATATACAGCTACGATAATATTTTTTTTAGAAAATAATAATATATATATATATATATATATACAAATGTTTGTATATAATTATAGCATACATGGACCTATGAACTGAAAAGTGTTGAAGATCATGCGGAAAATCCAGATCTGTGGAGTTTCAATGAGGTTAAAGTGGAACGTATAAGTCGTGGTGTTTATGCAGCCTCTATAAGTTTCAATGTTAACTTTGACATTGTCGAGGGCGATGACACTGAGGTTAATATTTTGTTTAGAAACCTGCTTTTTAAGAAGAATTCGGAAACATCATACGCATAAATTATCTATTTGCAGATTGAATTTATTTCGTTTCGCAGTGAAAATGGCGTCAAAGAATACAAACCGTTACCGTTCAAAGTACAACGTCAACATCTCTTCAAATATTTCGATAATCTTTACAAGCTAGTTATGGGCACTTTGAAAGAATGCTCCAATATGCCGGTATTTGAAGATAAATTCGAACCACCATTTGAAAAGAAAACCTATGTGCTGGATAAATGTCAATTCAATCAGAAAGAATTTCCACAGCATATGCAATAAGGGTTCTATAAGTGTGTCGTTTTGCACCAATGTTCAGTATGGTTGTCCACAGGGATCTACATCAGTTGCGCGTATTCTCTATTTGAACTGGAAAATCAGGCTGAGCAAAATCCACTGATCGGTGTTAATGCTTCTGCAAGATACGAGCTGGAAAGCATTATTGCGTTCTATCTCTGGTCCATGTATGAGGATCATAATGACAGTTGGTCTGTTTGCAAAAGCTAGTTGTAGGTGATAATTGAAGGCGATTATATTTATATAGTGCAACTAGTGGTGATAAAACTGTGTATATAATTCAGGCCTATAGTGAAGATGACAATAATTGAAACACAATTGGAGTTGGTGATCTCGACATTAGTTATGTGTGTTCCATAAAATATCTGGGGATATTTATTTTTGGGGGAATGGATTTCCTTGGGGTTGGAGCAGACGTGGAACTTATGGATCAAAATCTCAGGATCCAACCAATTCCAAATTGTTGCAAATTTAGTACCTTCATGCTCATAAGTAAGAATTTCTAAAACTACATCAATCTTACCCTCTAACAGTAATCTCAATTCCACCAAAGTCCAAATTGTACTAAACTTAGTACCATTTAGTAACTAATCACGTATTTTCAAAACTACCTTCATGTCTCAATCCTACACTTCACACTTAATTTTAATTCCAAATTTTAGGATTCCCGCTCACACAAAACGAATTGTACCCTATTTAGTACCATTAAGGGCTTCTCGTATCCATGAGTACGAATTTCGAATACTACCTTAATCCTGTAATTTGTAGTCCAAATTTAAGTTTTCCATATCTATCCGTTCACTCTAAACTAAACTGTACCATATTTAGTACACGTAATGACAACTTTTCAAAACTACCGACATATCTCAATCCTGCACGCCAACAGTAATATTAATTCAAAAATTTCAGGATCTCAACCCTATCCGTTCACACAAAAACAAGTTGTTAACTGTTTGGTACCATTTAGTACTTTTTTCTATAATTAGGAATTTCCTAAACTATATTCCAAAATTTTAATTCCAAAATTCTGGAGTCCAACTCCTCTATCCATTTACACTTAATTAAGTTGTATCCGTTCAAGGAGAATGCAAAATGTACTAAATTTATTACCGTTTAGTACTTTTCATACCAATAAATACGAATTTCCAAAACTACAAAACTTGCAGTGTAGAAGCAAAAGTCATCTTAATTTCCGTAATTTCGTACCATTAAGTACTTTTCGTACACATTAATGCGATTTTTTAAAGATGCCTCAATCCTGTACTCCTAATTTTGATTTTCAGGATTCCATCTCTATACACTCAACTAAATGCAAATAGTACCAAATTTTGTACCATTTTGTACTTTCCATACATCAACACCACTTCCCAAACTGTATTTTTATACAATTTCAAGATTTTAGCTATATATGTTCAATATATATATACAATTAGAACTAAATTTAGTACATTTAATACACTATAGGTCGAATTACCAAAAACCCTTTCGTACAGTTTTCTAACTTTCCATCAGTGACCCACATTCCAAATTTCAGAATTCTATCTCTTCGCCTACACCTTATCTCACGCCTACACATAACCAACAACCCACACTCAAAATTTAAAGATTCTAGCTTCAACCGTTTCGTCTGGGCGATGATCTGTCAGTCAATCATTCACTCACTTAAGGGAAACCCCCCAATTCTCGATTTTATTTTTTAAAGATTTTGGTAAAGATGGGCTGGTAAATTAAATTTGCACATATATATTTGAAGATTTAAAAGAGAAGAAAAATAATTTACAAAAAAATGTTGTTGTGTTTTGTAATTAAAGAAAAGTCCTTATTTCTGATGGCGGGCATGATAACTCCTCACTGGAACATCGGAATCCAAATATTCCAACGGTGTTAGAAAGAGTACATTACTGGCTCTCGTATGAACTAGGATTATTGACTTCGCTCTAAAATTAACAAAATGACGGACCTTTGAAAAATATTTTTGGAAAATCGTCGATTTTTGAGAAGCCCTTTAGCCGTCACCTGATGCGGACACAATAAATCGGCTATATCTTCCGGAGTTCTTGAGATTTTCACTTGAAATTTTGTAGGGACATTCTTGAATGAGTGTAGATTTGAATTAAATAAAAAAAAAATTGACTCCGAGAATGGGGGGGGGGGGGGGGTCCTCTTAACACTAAGCTCTTATATATATATGGATTCGGACTGGCCTAACTCAACGAAGTTTTCATTATTATACCTTTCAGCACACTGTGGTACAGGGTGCTATGTCTTTGTGCATATGTTTGTAACAAGCAAAAGCAATCGAATTGAATCACTTTTTAAGTCGAATTTATGATCCGATTTATATGAAATTTGGCTCATGTCACTTATTTGGTCCAAGGACGAACCCTATTGAAATTGGGAAAAATCTGTTCAGATTTAGATATAGCTCTCATATATATTTTTGTCCGATTTAAGGTAAATAATGTACCAAAGTCTCTATATATCTTTCGATTTGCACGAACATTGGCATATCGTATTGAATTAAGTCTAAAATTATATGTGTTATGTTTTGTGAAAATCGGTTCAGATTTAGGTATAGCTCCAATATATAGTTTCGTCCGATTTTAAGTAAATTGTGCACCAAGGACCCCCTATATCTTTAGATTTGAACGAAATTTGGCATAGCGTACTGAATTAAGTCAAGAATAATGTGTGTTAAGTTTCGTGAACATCGGTTCAGTTTTAGATATAGCTCCATATATAGTTTCGTCTTTTTGTTACACTTTATGAGGCCTTTGACGGATATTTCGGGTTCTTACAAACGGGAAACTATGTCAATTTCTAACTTACTTAAAAGAAGATCTATAATATTTTCTAGAATTATATGTGTTAAGTTTCTTGAAAATCAGTTCAGATTTGGATGTAGCTCTCATATAGGTTTTCGTTCGATTGTAAGTAAAATATGTTCGATAGGAACCAAACGTACTGAAATTAGTGTAAATTGGTATTTTTTCATATTTAGATATAGCTCCTATATAAATATGCGTCCGATTTTAAGTAAATGGTGCAAATTGACACGAAATTTTGCACAACGTACAAAATTGGACATAAAATGGCTAAAGGGGACCCCCCATTCATTTGTTTACTTACTTAAAAGAATATCCAAAAAATTTTCCTAATTTTTTTGGCAAAACCTCAAATGGAATATTTTTTATTATTTTTTGATGGCCGTTAGGCACCGTTGGCACTTAAACTTAAATAGTAAAGGGATTTTTGGCAAGTCCTCAAATGTAATTTTCTGATTGACCTTAGACACCATTGGCGCTTAAAGGGTTCATGAGAACATTTTTCACCAATTTTTTCCACGTGTTGAGATAACAGGGCTACTACAGGCAATGATAATTTGTTAACATGCTATTAACGGCCTGTTTAAATTTCATAATCAAAAACGGTCAATGTAGATCGCTATCATGACCTTAAATGTTAACATTTACGTTGATAACACGTGTAACTGATTGCATAAGATTGTCATTTATTCAATTATAAATTAGTGAAATGTTCGAAAATAAATCATAATAGAAAATCAATCATTACTAAAATGCAACTTAAATTCACAGTGACGACAATAATTGTCCTTTCGACATTTTCATCACAGAAGAGGGTGAGGGCCCTCAGAGTTCCTTCAAAGGTGAGCTAGTTGTAACAAATTTTACAAATCTTTTATTTTTGATTAAATAATATTACAGCAAACATGGTCATATGAACTGAAATCGGTAACAGCCCATTCGGATAATCCCGATTTATGGAGTTTTAGTGAAGCTAAAGCAGAACGAATAAGTCGTGGTGTTTACGGTGCCACACTAAGTTTTGATGTGAATTTTGATGTTATCGAAGGAGATGATTCTGAGGTTAATATTTGTAAATAAATTAAATAGGGGCTGGCTGCAATCGACCATTGAATAACTATTTTACTTTTACAGGTTGAAATGCTTTCATATCGCAGTGAAAACGGTGTCAAAGAATTTAAGGAATTCCCATTTAAAGTTGATCGACAACACTATTTTGATTATTTTAATAACTTTTACAAATTGGTTATGGACACTTTCAGAGAATGTTCCAATATGCCGATATTTGAGGATAAATTTCAACCACCATTTGAAAAGAAAACATACATATTGAACAAATGTCAATTCGAAAAAGAACAATTTCCTCAACATATGCAGGATGGATTTTATAAGGTGGTCCTCAATGGTTATGGAGCTGCACGTTGGTATATAGAGTTAATCGTTGAAATAACAAATGAACTATAGTTTCTTTTGAAATTACAAAAACAAATAAATAATAAGAGATACTTATAACCGGGGTTTATTCAATAATTTTTTTTCAGGCACAATGTCATAAATAAGGTTGGGGTTTAAAATAATGATTTTATATCCTTCACCACTCTGTGGTACAGGGTATTATGTCTTTGTGCATATGTTTGTAACAGGCGAAAGGAAACGAGATATACATATGGTTCCTTTTGAGAATATGCATTTCTGAGACGATCTACGCATGTCCGTCCGCCTATCTGTCTGTCGATGTTAAATTGTAAACAAAGTACAGGTCGCATTTATAATCCGAATTGAATGAAATTTGGAATAGGTCACTTATTTGGCCCAAGGACGAACCCTATTGAAATGGGGAATAATCGGTTCAGATGTAGATATAGCTCCCATAAATATTTTCGTCCGATTTAATGTAAACAGTCCCTATGTATCTTTCGATTTGCAAGAAATTTGACACAGCATAATAAATTAGGTCTAGAATGATGTGTGTTAAGTTTCGTGAAAATTTGGATATAGCTCCCATATATATTTTCGTCCGATTTACCAATGTACCAAAGTCCCTATATATCTTTTGATTTGTACGAAATTTGGCACAGCGTAATGAATTAGATCTGGAATGATGTGTGTCAAGTTTCCTGAAAATTGGTTTAGATTTGGTTATAGCTCCCATATATATTTTCGTCCGATTTAAGGTAAATGGTGTACAAAAGTCTCTATATATACTTCGAGGTAAATAGTCCAACAAAGTCCCTTTATGTACTTCGATTTGCACAAAATTTGGCTTAGCGTACTAAAATCTGCTCGAATGAAATAAAAGTTAGGTTTTGTTGGAGAAAGAGGGAACATAGACATGCAATTGTTAGGATACATATGTACAATATACCCAAAGTGGTGAAGGGTATCATATAGTCGGCCCAGTCCGACATTACTACAATCCTTACTGTTTTTTTTAAGGACAAGAATATTAATTTTAAAATAATATTTTCTCAAGGACCAATACAGGCGTGAATTTTTAAAAGAATTTTTTTAAGCGTAAATTTTTTAAGAATTTTTTTCAAGGACTATCAGATGCTTTGATTTTTTAAAGAATATTTTTTCAGTGACCAATACTAGTGTGAATTTTTAATGAACAAATTTTCAGGGGCCAATAAAGGCGTGGGTTTTTAAGGGCCAATACAAGTGTGTATTGTTTAAAGATTTTTTTTTTCAAGGAACAATACCAATAAAAGCGTGGATCTTCAAAAGAATAGTTTTCAATTACCCATACAAGCATCAATTTCTTAAGAATATTTTTTTAAGGGTCAATACAATCGTGGATTTTTAAACTATATTTTTTAAGGACCAATACAAGCATGGACTTTTTAAAGAATATTTTTTCGAGGACCAACGAAAGCTAGGAGTTTTTAAAGAATATTTTTTCAAATGCCAATACAAGCGTGGATCTCCAAAAGAATATTTTTTCGCGAACTTATACAGACCAATACAGGGGTGAATTTCTTAAAGAATATTATTCAAGGAGCAATTCAAGGCAAGAATTTTTAAAGAATATTTTTTAATGACCATTGAAAGTGTGGGGTTTTTAAAGTATATTTTTAAGAACCTATAAAAGAATTAAAAATTTTTTCGAAAAATATTTTTCAAGGACCAATGCAAGGCAAGGATTTTTAAAGAATATTTCTTCAAGGACCAATACAAGTGGGAATTGAAAAGGCTATTTTCTTTAATGACTAATGGGTTTTTGAAAAAATTGTTTTCCAAGGGCCACTACAATCTATGATTTCCTAAATATTATTTTTTCAAGGACCAATACAATGTGTGAATTCGTAAAGAATATGTTTTCAAGGACCAATACAAGCATGGATTTTTAAGGAGTTTTTTTTCAATTACCAATACAAGCGCGGATTTGTGGAAGAATATTTACAGTGACCAATACAAACGTGCATTTCTTCAAAACACATTTTTTCAAGGAACAATTTTACTATTTACTATTTTGAAGAATATAGTCCTGATACATTGTTTAGATTTCATTTTAAAAATAAAACTCATATTCTGTGGTGTACTTTAATTCCGATTCCTATATTTATTATTTAAATTTATTTAAAATTAATTTAATGTTTCGATTCCACTTGAGCAATAACGGTAAACTGCCAATCGGTACAACCCGAACCTGCAATGACTACTTTATAAAAACCTTCGGCCAAGTGATTGGGAAAACCATCTTGACTAAATTGACACTTCGTTAAGGTATATACCCTCTTTTCGAGAGGTGGCTCAAATTTATCCTCAAACACAGGCATATCGGAACATTCTTTCAACGATTCCATTAACATTTCCTTGTAGAAACCATTGAGAGCTGAAATTAAATGTTGACGGGCCATTTTGAAGGGTAATATCCTGTATTCGTTGACGCCGTTATCACTGCGATAGGCAGTACCCTCGATCTAAAATAATTAATTAGAAATGTTAATAGGGATACAGATGGAATTCTAGAATGTGTATTACATCAAATGGAACACTCTCGTCAATATCTATACCCAATGTAAAGGAGCCAGATATGCCGTAGACACCACGTGAGACACGTTCCACACTCAAATCGATGCCAAGTATGTCATCATCAGCCGATGAGGAATCCAATGATTTAATTTCATATGTCCATGTTTTCTGTTGAAATGGAACAAGCATGGTGGATTTTTTTTATTCTTGTCCTCCTTGAAGGATGTTTTTCTTAAGTTACCTCATTTGTTCCTGGTACCATGGTATTTACAAGGACCAATGTATGGAGTAAATAAAATACCAACTGCCATAATCCTGTTTTACTTAAATCCAATACCATAATCACCAATTTTATTGTATTATTACACTTTTCCAACGCTGGCTACACTTCCAACTGCTGTCAGTTCAAACCGATTCTAAGCTTATATTTAGTGGCCGGTTTTAATAGCATGGTGTATGATAACAATTAGCATCTTGTTAGTTAGCCATGTTTTACATCACAATCTATTCGATGACATGCCACATTCTTGTTTGTAAATTCGTTTATCTTGTTAGTTAAACCAAACATATTCGTGTTCCGCACTTGTATTACATTTCTGGTTAATGGTAAGGCAATTTTAATGGTATTATTTAAGCCCTGATTTGAAACAATAATTACGCGATGTTTTATACCATTCACCACAATGTTGTACAGGGTATTACGTCTATGTACATATGTTTGTAACAGAAAACGAGGTAGATACATGGTATCTTTTGAGAATATGCATAGAATCACCTACTGAGTCGGTTTATGCATGTCCGTTTGTCTGTCCGTCCGTCCATGTATTTTTGTGAACAATGTACAAGTCGCATTTATGATTCGATTTGGATGAAATTTGCCACATGTCACTTATTTGGGAAAATTGGAGAAAATCGCTTCAGATTCAGATATAGTAGGGATAAGTAAATCGGCTTTCGACTAATCAATTAATCGACTTTTTGTATTAAAAAGTCTAAAAGTCGAAGTCGATTTTTGACCTTTGAGAAAATCGCAAAGTCTACTTTTCAAGATCGACATTCGATTTTCTTCATAAATTCAAAATCGAAAGATCGAAAATTCGACTTTTTAGTCAAAGGCAAAAATCGAAAAGTCTAAAAATCGACTTTTTGTTCAGAAGCAAATTCGAAAAGTCTACAAGTCGACTTTTGCGCTCGACTACGTATCCCTAGTATATAGCTCCCATATATAGCTTCGTCCGATTTTATGCAAACTTCCATAATTGGTCCAATTGAGACAAAATTTTGTACAGCGTACCCAATTAGGCCCAGATTGATGTATGCGAAGTTTTGTTGGATTCGGTTCAGATTTAGATTTAGCTTCCATATAGTTTCCTGTCATATATAGTCCGATCATGTGTAAATGGACCACCATACGTTCAATATCTGTCCGATTAAGACAAAATTTTGCACGGCTACTGAATTAGGTTCAAATTGTAGTATGTATGTAAGTTTTGTTAAAATCGGTTCAGATTTAGATATAGCTCCCATATAAAGTTTCTTCGGATTTTATGTAAATGGAGCACCGTACTGTCAATGTTATCCTATCAAGCCAAATTTTTGCATACTGTTTTGTAGTTACTACAGGTTCACATCCGTTTGTTGAAATAGGTTCAGATGTAGATATATCTCCCAAAGTATATTTTTCCAAGGACTAAAAGAAGGATAGGTATATAGCTTCCATATATTCAGTGACTAAAAGAAGCGTAGATTTTTGTTATTCAAGTACTAGCGTGGATTTTTTGAAGAATATATATTCAAGGAATAAAAGAAGCGTGTATTTTTGAAGAATATATATTTAGAGAATAAAAGAAACGTGTATTTTTCAAAATATTTCTAAAACCAGTGAGCGGAGCAGTATAGTCGGACGGGGCCGACCATACGATACCCTACACAACTACCATTGCGAGCCTGGGCAATATTTCGTGAAATTTGCACCCTCTTGCCCAATTAGAGGTAAACAGCACCTCTTCCTTACACTGACATATTTTCGGAATAATATAGGCGTTGTCGTTGACCATAACTGGAACCTCATGGAACATTTCAAAGCGATCAGCGCTATAGTTCCGCTCTCCAGAGTGGTAATGGGTTACTAAATTATATACGAATACGGAGATACCTGTAGACATTTAGGTGTAACTCCAACATCCGAGCACATACAACAATATAATTGGTCTTAATTTAAAGGTCAAACAATCCTCTTGGATATAATATCAACTTCTCGGGTATATGTCCTTCAGGGGTAAATATATATGCCATAGAATAAAAATTTTGTCATTTTTCACACAAAAGTCAGGGTCCATTTGACCCGCTAAATATTGACCGATCTTTCTCCAAACAGGCATGCTTATTCTTTGGCCCGATCCGCTTCTCCATGCAAAATTTCACGATGTTCGGACCATTGTTGCGGCCTCTGCAGCGACCAGAAAAACCGACAAAATTTTAGTATTTGGTCCATTTCATCCCCTAAGTATTAACCGATCTTTCCCAAAAACAATAGGGGTCTTCATTGGCCAGAACCCATCCTACATGCAAAATTTCGTGAAGATTGGTCCATAACTGTGGCCTGTATCGTGTTTACAAATTATAATGGACAGACGGACGGACGGACGGACACACATGTCTAGATCGACTCAGCTAGTCGAGATATGACGATCGGTATACTTAAAGGTGGGTCTAGGACCAATATTTCGCGGCGTTACAAACTTTTGGGGCTGCACAAACCTATAAATATTTTGAGGAGCTATTAAAATTTTGATTTTTTATAAGAATATTTTTAGAAAGACTATAAAAATATTGATATTTTTGTAAGAATAGTGGATTTCAGAAGGACTAATACTTTTAGAAGAGCAGTGATTTTTTTAGGAATATTTTTGGATTGGCTATAATAATATAATTTTAAGAAATTTAAAAATCATGGATTTTTAAATGATTATAGGAAACGAAGACTCTTTAAAAGATATTCATACATTTTTTCCAGAATAGTCATTAAAAGCCACAAAGATGTATTTTCAAAGCTGCGTGTATGTATTTTAGTATAGCATGAATTTTCAAGATCCACAAATGCAAAAGTGAGTAGAATTTTTACACCGCCCACCTTATGTGGAGTCTATATTAAAATTTTCAGCCGAGATGAGTCGAAATGTGAATACGTGACATTGGAGAGAATATTTTTTCAAGCAACATGGCTCTTTATAATGCAAATGTTCAAAACAACTTAAGAGACATAAACCATTTGAACGTCAATTTTTCTTAAGGGTCAATAAAGTGAAAAAAGTTATCATTGATGAAATAGTATTGGACTAAAATTATATTTTTAAATACCAATAATCGTAGAATTTTCAATTTTTAGTTTTAACATTTTCTTTATTTTGCAAATCAAAGTAAGAAACCTATTTAATTTGTAGCTTCCACTTCAACAATAACGGCGAAATGCCAATCCAGACAACCAGAACCAGATATTAGAATTTTATAAAAACCTTCTTCCAAATGATTGGGGAATCCATCTTGACTAAATTGGCACTTTGTTAGGGTATATTCTCTTTTTTCGATCGGTGGCTCAAACTTATCTTCAAATACAGGTAAATCGGAACATTCGCTCAATGTGTCCATAAACATTTCCTTGTAAAAGCCATTGATTGCCGAAATTATATTTTGGCGAGACATTTTGAAGGCTAATACTTTGTATTCGTTGACGCCATTGTCGCTGCGATAGGTATTGGCCTCCACCTTAAATAATAAATTGAATATTTTATTAAGAGAAAAATAGATATTCTTGATAGCCCATTACATAACATTGTGTATTCTCATCAATGTCGATATTCAATACAATGGAGCCAGATAAGGCATAGACACCACGAGATACACGTTCCACACTCAAATTGGTGTTTAGAATGTCCTCGTCCGCCGTCGAATAATCCAACGATTTTATTTCATAAGTCCACGATTTCTGGTGTAAAGAGAATGAAGGCGAGGATGAAAAGAAAAATTAAAAGAAATTTTTCCTTAAAGGATTTGTTTTAGTTACCTCATCGGATCCCGTCACCATGGCATTTACAAGGACCAATGTGTAGAATAAATGAAACACCGACTGCCATAATCCTGTTTTATTTGAAACCGATGTCATGATTGCAAATATAAATATTGGTATCACTTTCCCAATATTGGCCACACTTGTAGCTGCTGTCAGGTCAAAATGATGCTGGCTTAATTTTGTTGGCTTATTTATAACAGCCGATATTAGCATGTCATTAGTGTCGTGTTTTATATAGAATTCCATTCGATGACATTCAACAATCTTGTATCTTTTTGTAAATTATTTTACATTGTAGTTCCTAACTGATAGTAACGAGTTTTAAATTAATTTTACCCTACACAACTATGTTGTCAGGGTATTACAGCTTTGTGCAGCCCCAAGAGTTTGCAACGCCGCGAAATATTGGTCCTAGACCCACCTTTAAGTATACCGATCGTCATATCTCGACTAGATGAGTCGATCTAGATATGTGTGTCCGTCCATTATAATTTGTAAGCATGATACAGGCCACAGTTATGGCCCAATGTTCACGAAACTTTGCATGTAGGATGGATTCTACCCAAGGAAGACCCCTATTTAGGGGATGAAATGGACCAAAAACTAATTTTTTGTCTGATTTTATGGTCATTCTAGAGGCCGCAATTATGGCCCAAACATCGCGAATTTTTACGGGCCAAAGAATAAGCATGCCTGTTTTGATAAAGATCGGTCAATATTTACCGGGTCAAATGGTCCCTGACTTTTGTGTGAAAAAAGGAAGACCCCTATTTAGGGGATGAAATGGACCAAAAACTAATTTTTTGTCTGATTTAATGGTCATTCTAGAGGCCGCAATTATGGCCCAAACATCGCGAATTTTTACGGGCCAAAGAATAAGCATGCCTGTTTTGATAAAGATCGGTCAATATTTACCGGGTCAAATGGTCCCTGACTTTTGTGTGAAAAAATGAAAAATTTTTATTCTATGGCGTATATATTTTCTCCTGAAGGACATAGACCCGAGAAGTTGATGGTATATCCAAGTGGATTGCTTGACCTTTAAATTGATACCAATTATATTGTTGTATGTTCTCGAATGTGGAACTTACATTTAAATATTTACAGCTGCTTACGTACTCAGATATTATATTATTATTAATATAGTGCGGATAGTTTTGAAATTTCCCGTGAGGATCCAGGTATGGTCTATA